GGAAGTGCTTTGCTCAGAATCTAATGGCCGCTCCACACTCCTCCTGGTTCTTTCTTGGTGTTTGTTAAAGCATTGTCTGTGAGTATTACTTGGTAAAAAACATTGAGACACCTGTAATGTTACATGATATGATGGTATTGTGTAAAGTTGTATGTTTATAGCCCGTTATTATTATGCTAATGAGTCCGTTTTCATATGCTAATTTCTTGTTGCTAATCGCTAGCTAACATCCACATTTCATTGAAAGTCAATGTCATGTTGGTCTTTTATTTTATTTAGATCATTCTGTAAAGCCTAGATTGTAATACATTGCATTTCTGTATGTTACAGTTTCACAAATTGAACTACTACTGAAGTAAACTTCATTAAACAGTCATCGCTGTCCGGAGTTTCTTCATCGTTCAAGTTTGTTTAGCTGTTCGGATAGCTGGTGCAGTATCTAGCGAGGCCATWATTTGATACTCTGAACTGAAATACATCTCTCTTTCAAGCTTGTTCTAATTTTTGGTAAAACAAACATCTCGAATCCTTTCAAATTATAAACACTTTTCCTCTTAGTAAAATAAAATTGCATTTCAGAAGGTAAAGCATTGTTATGAGCTTTATACATCATCAACAAAATTCTATAATTAACCAGATAATAAAACAACAATCTCAACTGACTGAACAAAACATTAGATGGATGACAACAATGCTTTCCTGTCAAAATTCTCACGGCTTTTTTCTGCAAAACAAAAACAGGATATGTAAATGTTTTACATGCTTTTCCCCAAACTTCAATGCAGTAAGTTAAATGAGATTCAATAATGGCGTTATATAATAAGAGCAATGCTTCATCATTAAATACTTCCTTAGCCTTGTAGAAAACTGCAATTGATTTCACAGTTTTAGTTTTTATGTAACTTATGTGAGATAATTTAAACTTTCATCAATAACGCCCAAAAATTTCACCTCAGTAACTCTGCTAATCTCAACACCACAAATTTGAAATGAAACATCAACCATTTTTTCTTTTACTAAATATCATATAGTTAGTTTTATCCAAATTAAGTGATAATTTATTAAACTCAAACCAATCATGTATCTTTACAAAATCTAACTTCAACAAAGCTAGCAGATGTTCTAAATTGTTTCCCGAACAAAAAAAGTAGTGTCATCTGCAAACATGACACATTTCATTACATCAGACACATTAACCAAATCATTGATTTACAAAAGCAACAACTTGGGCCCTAACACAGAACCCTGTGGGACCCCACAAGTAATTGTCTAAAACGTTGATCATACATCATTAATTTGCACAAATTGTTTCCTATTTTCTAAATAACTCGATACCCGTTTCAAAGCTGAGCCACTCAGACCATATCTGTTCAATTTATCAAGAAGAATTCTGTGATCAATAGTGTCAAAAGCTTTCTTTAGGCCATCATTGTTTTGACTCACACTAAAACTGTATAAATTAAATACTAAACACACACCTATACCTTAGTTTTAAAATCCAAACAATCTAGATATGACAGATTTCACAGATCATATTACTCTCTCTGCTTTCCATCATCACCAAACTTCATTCAACATTAGCATCATTTTTACTCCCCTGCTGCAGAATTTTTGACATTTAACAAAAGATTTCAGGCCTCAGTCAGAAAGGAGGTGGTTGTTTGTTTAGCTCATTAGAAGGCTTAGACCGCACCATAAGTTTGCGTGTTCCCCGTTTCCTCACGCTCTACTCGCACTGCAGCAACAACACGTTTCAAAATGACCATCATTTACAGAAAAAACACATTGGATGTTCTTTATCATAACTGGTTTTACTTACTCTATCAACACAATTTAAATAGTGGTTTGTAGTTCAAAGTCTCAGTTAAAGCACAGACAGCTCCTGGATTGGAAATATCTCCACGTTGGATTGGAAAACTCTGCTCTGTTAATTATGTTGGTACTGGATACAGATACTGGATCGGATTGGCCTCATTCCAGGTTAAAACGCTGATTCTATGCAGAAAATACTACATAGAGCCCAGTTATTGTTTGTTAGCAGTGCTCAGACGTAGCAATGAGACGAAACGTGAAATTTCATGTTTAGTCAAAGTTAAACATAAACTGTCAAAGTTAAATGCAATTGGTGTGAGAGCCACTTCAATGTGATCCTCAGTGAAAATGAATTTGACACCCCTAATTTAAAAAGGAACCAAATTATTAATCTTACAGTTCATTTTTATTTGAGTGAGGGTCAAAATGACACAAATTCTATTATTAGGGATGCATGATATATCGGCATTAATATCGGTATCGGCCGATATTGGTCATTTTTTAGAATATCAGAATCGGTCCGATATGTAAAACTGGGCCAATATTAACATCTGATATTGATTTACCACTTTTTATCTTTGTGTTTCTGTTTTGGGAGGGGAGATGGTTGGTCGATCTGTTGGATCATGATAGTGATAATGATGATGCTGCAGCCAGGAATAACTGAAGCAGAGCCATGTCAGAGGTCTGGTTGTTTACTTACAGTATCAATAAAAGTCCCAAGTGTTTGTGCGTACAAGTATAATATAATTTGTGTGTTTGTGTAATATTGGTAAATATCGGATATCGATGTTGGCTGAAATTTTCACATCGGTGCATCCCTATTAGGGAGGCAAACAATTAATCGATTTACGATTAATTGTCGATCAATGGTTTATTGGATTAAAGTTTCTTCTATTTGATTAATTAAAAAACATCTGTTTAAACCTTATTTCGGTGTAGTTTTGACTTCATCCAGCAGAGCGCGCTGCTGCTCTAACACTGAGCAGGAACCCGTCTCAATAATGTGGGTGGGACCGCAAACGCACGAGTCTTATTTAGTTTTATTTGCGACACAACAATTATAATGAACTATACCTAACCCCAAGGACAAGTACCTGACTGTACCTGACCATCAAGCAGTATGATGCTTAAAACAAGAGAGAAGGACGACAGAGAACGGTAAGCTAACTGTGGCTAACGTTAGCTTCCTCTCGTTGAGTTTAACTCCGTGTAAAAAAAACAAAACAAAAACGTTAGTCGCTAAATATATGAAGTTAATCTAATCTGTGTGACATAACCCGGCCAGTGAACCAATCTAATAAACATTAACTGATGTCAGATCATGACATGTGCAGCAGTCCAGCTAAGATAGAAGCAGATGGAGTGTAAACAAACAAACAAATTATTGCCAGTACTCATTTGTATCTCACGTCTTTCAGAGATATTTTATTATTTTCTTAGTTTGTTTTTGAGTTAATCTTAAAATATTACCCTGTGTTTAAATAAGTTTTTCATCTTCAGAATGGATTAAGTGTTTTAATTATTTTATATATATACTTTTCCAACTAGCAACCTAACAGATTCCTGTTTTGTTATATTTTATAAATATGTCCAAGTTTAATAATGTGAGAGAAATCCACATTTCTCTGCTCCTTCAGTCAGTGTTTACTCACAGGGCTGGCACAATGAATTGTTAAAATAATACTGTACTTTTTTATTTAGTGTGTAAAAAATTAGACCTTTATGTTAGAGAAAGACTCTTGATTCAAGAGAAATGTCAGGTTTTTAGGAAAATTGCCGCTTATCAATTAATTGTTAGTCGATCGATAAGATCAATCAACTTAAGATTAATCCATTAATCGATAACTTGCATCCCTAATCCCTAATTACACTTTTCAAAAACATAAAAACAAATTGTTAAGAGTACCTCGTGCACAGGAAACTGTGACAGAGCGTGGATGCAGCGTATTGAAGCGATCCGTATTTTCTGTTAAGGAAAGAAACAAAATCAATACTTTTGGAAGAAATCAGGCCTATTGTCTCCTAAGACATGTCTCTCAGCTTCACCCTGTACCTCCTGGTATGAGCAGAACTAACTCACCATGGCCGGACTGCAGACGAGGACCAGTAACCTGCTGACCAAAGCCTCCAGCTGCTGGATGAAAACTGCAGAGGGGTTCAGGAGGACAGGCTCTAGGAAGGACAGCGTGGACAGCTGGACACCCTGATCGGGACACGTCAAAGCTTCCAGCAACAGAGACAGAAGCTAAATGGGAGATTAGGAGCCAATTTTCAAACCATCATACTTTAGTTCTTTTTACAGAGACGACAGTCAGACATGAGGAACTCACCGCTGGCAGCTCAGACACTTGGACCTGCTTCGGCAGCTGAGTGACGATGTTAGAAAGAGCCTTCAAGTAGTTGGGCTTCGTCTCTGTTGAACAGGGAAATGAGAAAACTAAACCAAGGAATGCATTTCACCCACCATCTTTCATCATGCTTTTAGACAAAGATCGTTTTAGGATTAAGAAATGTCAAGAGTTGTGGCTGTTTTGGTCATTTGTGAGATCTTGAATTTTAGGAAGGAATTTTGGCTCTGAATGTACTTTGGGAATGACTCTGCTACTACTACATATAATTTTAGCACAAAACTGAATTATATCCTTGTATGAGTTTAATAAGGTCAGTTAGCTGTGGTAACCACCATCATCATCTTCTCCTTCTTCTTCTTCTTATTAGCCACCAGTGAAAATACATCCTTCTTAGGTCCATGCTACACATATTTGCAGTTACAATAGTTGGCCAAAGGTGGCACTCTTTTTGAGACAAACACACATATTTAGTAAAAAATAACTCGTTCACACCGAACGCGATTTCAGCGTCAGGAGCAGCAGGTTTACATTCAAAGTCTATGGTGGACGCTCTTCAAGC